AGGGTTTAGGGTTTAGGGAGAGGCCCTGGGCCCCAAAACTGCCTGCAACTGCCCAGATGCTCCTGGCCCCGAGCCAGCGGGCCAAGCTGCATGTGCGCGCGGATGCCGGCACTGGGGCCCAAGGCAACATCTCCCCGGTGAACGTGGAGGAGTTAAAAAGCGCATGGAGTTTCTTTCGTTTTGCGCTGCATGAGCAAATCCGTATGCTTCGGATTCGTCTCGTCAATCTCCATGCCGTCCATCTGTTATTGCGTCTTTCGTGTGTGCGTGGCTGGCCGTAGCTGCAGGACATACCCCGGTACATAGGGCATGCTCCGAAGGGAGCAACATGAATGATATGGCATTATGGGGCATTGCAACAAATGGGTTGTCGCAGTCTGGTTCCTGCCTACTTTCCTGCGCAACAGCAGTTACATCGGATGTTTCTACTCCACCATTTGTACTCCGCCACGCAGCTCAAGCCGGCCACAGCTTTCACAGTTTGGAGGTGAAGGCAAATCTGCCAGGCATGCATCTGAAACGCTTTAACCTAAAGCTACCCAAATGCGAGAGGGAAAAAAGCTACCCAATTTCCGGTTGCATTCACAGTGAGCTTCCCAACAACAGATGAACACGGACCGTGTGGACATTTCATTGCGAGACTCTTTTCGCCTTCGCTCCATACGTTGCCAACTTATTGTTATTTGCACACTCTACATATTCAAAGCCACACATAACCTAGAATCCTTGGTTGTGACTTTTCTTGCATAAGTTCGAATACTTCAGTCCGTTCCAATAGAATGGGGCGGGGGCCGACAAGCAAGGACAGACACAATCGGCGATCCCTCCTCTGGAGTCTGCCTTGCCAGTCTCTCTTTTGTTTTTGGGTGCCAAACCATGAGTCAATCGAGCTATCCATCCAGGCAAAGGCCTGGCACGTCGTGTATCCATGCTGCACAACCAAGTCTCCGGCAGGAGCCCGACCTGCAAAAGTATCCGGACTTCCTCGAGGCCGCCCTTCGAATGCACACAGTATATAGGCCGGGTTTCAGATCACCAGGGAACGGTCCCTCAACTTCTCTTGTTCTCGTCTGAGCGGTCGAAAGTCTGCATGCTTTTCTGCATGCTGCGGCTCAAGTGCCATGGCGAGCTCAGGGCCGCCGGTAGCGGCAGGGTGGCTGTTGCAGCCCACACTGCCGCACGCCTTTGATGTTGGTGCCTCGCACAACTCCGTCCGCCATTTCAGGTTAGACGGTGCCTGCAGAGTGCGTGCCCTACCGCGTGTTAACATGAGGGCACTGAACCGGGTGGGTCCTGCTTCTGGGGCAGCCGTAGCCTCCGTTGCTCTCGCTGCAAGGGTCACCTGGCACAGGAGGGCACGATGCTCTTCTACGGCAATCATGACACTTGTCGATGGGCACTACCACATCTACAAGAGCTTCTACGCCACGAAGTACAGCGGGCTCTGCAACCAGCGAGGCGAGCCGACAAATATTGTCTATAGCTTCATGCAACAGCTTGAGCGGATCCACCGGGAGCTTGAGCCCTCGCACATGGCGGTGCTCTTGGACAGTGAAACCTCGTCTTCATCCCGACGAGAAGTCTTGCCCGAGTACAAGAAAAACCGGAAGTGTCCCCCAGAGCTACTTGAGCAATTGCCGAAGGTCATCAAGGCCTGTGAGGCCATGGGGGTGCAATGGCGGTCTTCTGAGGACTTCGAAGCCGATGACCTCATTGCCTCTTACACGCGCCGATTTAGTGCCGGGTCAAGATCTTGCCACGTGAAGATCGTGTCTTGTGACAAGGACCTCCTCGAGCTGGTGGGCGACCAGGTGGAGTTGCTGGACACCCCTCGACACAAAAATCGTTCGGGTTTTGTCCGGATGGACAGAAGTGAGGTCTGGAACAAGTGGGGCGTTCGACCGGACCAGATCCCGGATCTGCTAGCACTTATGGGCGACTCTGCCGACAGCATCCCTGGAATACCGGGCATCGGAGCCAAGAGAGCCGCAACACTGTTGCAAAAGTGTGGCAGCCTCGAGGCCATCGTCAAGCGGGCATTCGAGGGCACACTAACAGCGTCGGGCATTTCCCCACGGATCTGTGACAAGATCTTGGCGCACGGCCCCAGGGCTCTGGAGTTGCTCAAACACGTAGTAAGGCTGAAGGACGCCTCAGTGGAGAAGGAGGAGCTCGACTGCTTCAAGGTGCCCGAGCGTGACGATTCCTGGCGTGACCGTGTCAGCCTCTTCTGCGACTCCGAAGACATGACAAAGCTGAAGGAGCGCTTGACCTCCAAAGGCAGTATCACGGGCAAAAAGGGCCAAGGCCAAGAAGGCGAAGAAGCGCCGTCCTTCATCCCATCGCGGTCCGACACGGGGAAGGTGCTCGAAGTCCGGACGCCCAACGAAGCCCGTGCGGCACTTGAGCGCCTGGAGCGGTACCCGGAAGCAACCTTCGCTGTGTTCTGCGTGGGGAGCGACGAGCTTTCCAGGAACGCTCAATGCCTTGCGATCTACGGAGGTCCCTCCATCGACCTAGGCCACGGCCGCACCAAAGTCTGGGTGGATTTGTTGGAACATTCCGAGGAGATGCTTGGCTTGTGGCGGAGCTTTCTGGCAAACCACCAAAACAAGGTTTACCACGTCTATGCGGACACGCAGCGTGGCTTGAGCTGGGGCAGCACGCCGAGCATCCCGCGCAGAGGCGGCTTTGTTGCAGATGTAGTGCACCTTGCACGCCTCTTGGATCCCACCTTGAAGGAGGCCGACTCGCTGCCGTGGCTGGCAGAGAAGTTGCTGGGCCCGACTTGGAAGCTGCAGCGACCACAAGGTGAGGAGGGCAAGAGGAAGGTCCGTGATCTGCAGCAGGGCAGATGTCGGGACGATTGGGTCCAGTTGTGTGGAGACAGTGCAGCCGCCGTGTTTTTCCTCCACCAAGACCTGAAGGCCAGGCTTGCAAAGCAGGCGTGGCAGGCTCCCAAAGAGGCTTCACCTGGAGCGACATCTTCGATGCTGGACTTCTACACAGAGCACTGGCAGCCGCTGGCTATGCTGCTCTCGGACATGGAGCTTCGGGGCGTTCCAGTCCACGGCGAGAGGCTGAAGGACTTAATCACTGAGAAGTCCGCCGCGCAGGAGATGCTCCGGCGCGCCTTCTGCAGCTGGGCAGTCAGTAAAGGTTGCTTGGATGAGACCTTGGACTCTATGGTGGATTTGAACTCCAACCAGCAATTGGCGCATTTGCTTTTCGGTTCTGGTGAAAGAGAGTTTGCCGGCTCTGTCGCAGGGGGCTCCCCTTCGATCCAGCTTTTGCCAGAGGCGGAGCTTTGGGCCCACAAAATTCCAGAGCTGAAGGAGCTTTGCAGAGACCGGGGTCTGATGGTAAGCGGCAAGAAGATTGATCTCGTGCAGCGCCTTTGCGATCCTCAGGCTCAAGTGCAAGGCAGGGCACGGCGTTCCCGACCGAGCTTAAAGGTTCGGGGTCTCTGCCTGGAGCAGAGCACGGTCACTGGCACAGCTCGCGAAGGCGGCGTGCAGCTGACCTTGAAAACCTTGCAAGGACTGGTGGAGCGGGAGTGCCACCGGCAAACAGACGCGGCAGAGCCTCTGCAAAGTTTGTTGTCTTGGCGGCAGCATGAGGCTGAGCTGGGTTTCCTACGGCCCCTGCAAATTGCTTGTCGCAGGGGTCGGGTCCACCCACAGCTGAACCTGAACACCGCCACCGGCCGCCTTCTTAGTAGGAGCCCGAGCTTGCAGGGCAAGCCGAAAGGAAGCGGCCACGCAGTGCGATCTTTAGTTGCGGCGCCTCCAGGAAAGTGTTTTTTGGTGGCGCACTATGGCCAGCTCGAACTAACGCTGGTGGCGCACTTAGCAGACTGCCCCACCATGATTGACATCCTTACGCAGGGGGGCGACATCCATTCCAGAACGGCCTACCGCATGTTCGACGAGGTACGGGACAGCGTGGACGAAGGGAAGGTCGTTTTGGAGGGCGACATCGGGGGGGCGGCGACAGTGGAAGATGTTTTTCCGGAGCTGCGCAAGCGCGCCAAGGCGTTGAATTTCGCTTTGCTGTGCGGGAAGACCGCTTATTCGGTGACCAGCGAGTGGGATTTGAGCCAAGAAGAGGCCTCTGCCGTGGTGGATCGTTGGTTTCGGACTTTCCCAGAGATCGAGGCCTGGATGAAGCAGGTAATGAAGCAGGACGAGACCGACCAAACTGCGGTGGCAACGTTGCTGGGGCGGCAACTCGGCCGTTTGAAGGGGCGATCCTTCAAAGAGTTGGGTCCGGCAAGACGTGTGGTGGGGAGTGCGCCTGTACAGGGCAGTGCTGCAGACGTGGTCTTGAGCGCCTTGGTAAAGGTGGAGCGCTCAAGCGTGCTTCAACAGCTTGGCTATCACCTCGTGCTGCAGGTCCATGATGAACTTTTGCTCGAAGGACCTGAGGATCATGCCAACGAGGCCTTGGCAGAGCTGGTGCGGCTCATGGAGGACCCCCTCCCATTTAAGCTCAAAGTACCCCTGACAGTGAATGCCAGGCATGCGCAAACCTGGAGTGAAGAAGCAGGGTTTTGAAATTCAATCCAAAAACTGGAGTATGCACGGACGTGCGCCGAGAATTGCTTTGTGTAGGCAGTTCATGTTGCAGTTTGTCTAGTCTCCAGAAATTCGATGCAAATCGCTTCCGACAGTGCAAGCTAATTTGAAAAAAGCCGCTTTGAGTTTGTGCTGCCTTGCTGCTGTTCTGGTGTTTACCTTGACGGCAAAAGCACACCGAGTACCTGTGCATGCGGTATCTCTTGTAGTCGCCCAGTCCTCCGGGCATACCTCATCGCATGTTCACGGGATGTCGCGGGTGTCCGCGGGCTAGGCTTAGGAGGTAGAGAAAGGCTAGGAGCCACTGCAGGTCCCGACAAACAAATGCTACGGCTAGGTGATACTCGTGTTAACTCGGAAGAACATGTGACCCACACTTTGACATAGAAAATTGACCCACGATCTCGCAGTGCGGCTCGGATCCCTGCGTCGCACTGGGTCACGTCAGTGAGTCAGATCGGAATAGAGGGTCCGAGCGCGAGAGTTTGAATTGAATGCAAGTTCCCGGCGACAGACCGACAACCGCTTCCTGCGCTATTGAACCCGCCCTCTATCCGAAATACAGGCATGCCTCAGTGAAAGTTGTGCTACGACTGCTACAGGTAGCTAGTTGGTGGCAACGCAAGCTATCAGTAGTGGCGGATGAGGGGCTTTAAGGGCCTGGCCCGGAAATAGATCTCTTCACAGTCCACCTCTAATCGAATCCAGGATGTTTCATGATAGCGACGGTTTGAGGGTTCACAGAATTTCGGATTGGACTCTCGAAGTCCGCCCTGCACAAGGGGCTTGCCAACTGGGTTTTGTGCCGTGTGCGTGACTTTAGATCGAACCCAGCATGTCCTGATCCCCGAGCCCACTGGCAAAGCCGTAAAGTGAAGCACCCATGACTGCGGGCATGTAGGATTGAGGATATACAAGACGGTGCCCAGCCCGAGACAGCCAAGGAAGCAACACCACCCGAAACGTTTGGCTGCATGATTCTCAATGTGTGAAACGTCACCGAAGCCGAGGAAATGCTGATTGTCGATCTGGCCCCGGGTGACGTCTTGCATCTCGGACTTCCTGGCACGTCGTGCGAGGCTACTTCGTCATGTCGTCAGTGGCGACGTAGTGAAGCGTAACGGCACATGGAAACTTGGAGACATGAAGTCGGATTCTCTTGGCCACTCCAGAGCCTAGCATAGCCTGCCAGTAATCATCAGTAATCGATGCGATGATGGAACAGTTGCAGCGATGCTGCTGTGTTCTCGCACTTATGTCGCCACTTCCTGTGAGAGATGACAGCATCAAGTCAAGCAGCCAAAAGACTCGTTCGCCTGTATTTTCATTTGGACGCTCGGCGCCTGGAAGGGTTGTGCAACCTCTCAGGTACATGCCAAGCGGTTGGTGGCATCAAGTGCGAGCTCTGACACCCTCCATCTCTGTACCCCGCATGCATTTCAACAGCAGGTAACATCAGCAGTGACGAGGCACACTTGTGGTTGCTAGTGTTGCTGCGGGTGATTGCTGCGATGGACAGCTATCCTTCGCAACCCGGTGGTTCTGGATGTTCTGGCTTGTGTGGGGATACGACAATGTTACTGACTGAGTACCATGAGGAACATTACTAACGAGTGTAGTAGTGGCAGTAGCAGCAGTAGCAGTAGTAGTAGTGGCAGCAGCAGCAATAGTCGTGGTAGCGACAGAAGCAGCAGTAGTCGCAAAAGCTTCCGCAAGACCGAGGTGAACTTCTGGTACTGAGCCGCAGTCCTTTTACCGACTTCTGATTCCGCCGAACACGAGCCAAATGATGAGGAGCAGGGCTTTACGACTAGAGCTGTCGCTCCGGAACCTCGGGACGATCGGCTCGTCGATTGCCACACCTTTGGGTTGAAAATTGGGTGTTGACGGTGTTGCCTTGATGGCGAGTTCAACGGTCGATGTAGCTGTCTCGGGCTTTGTTGACAGAAGTGTTCGGGTCCAGCCAGGGTCCAGCATATGTGACATCCTGGAGCCAGCCCAACAGTATATAACACGAAAGAACCAGCTCTGCACGACAAGCGTGCACGTACTCATAAAATGGTATCTTAAAGTTTATGCACGCGTGCGCACCTTAGAAGTTATGTTTCATATGTTATACAATCTGTATGAGTCATCGTGCATCATATTTAGTGTGTTTCCTATGTTGTCATTCCTATCTGTTGTGAATATGACAACGTTCGTATTTTTCTCCTAATTGAAGCAGTGTTCATAACATTGTGCATCGTTTCGTTGTGTATACACATAACACTCTTTCCGATCCCGTTGCCTGTGCTGCTCCTCCATTGCTTTCATTGGGAAAGGTTCACTGCAGAGTGACAGCGACGGCGTGCGGACGCCCCCGCTTCCAATCGACTGCTCTTCGATGGCCAAGCTTGTTGGTGGGTTTTCGGGGCGCCCGCCCGTTGCAATCGATTTCTTCATGGCGAAGCCGGCTGCAATCGACCTCTTCGTGGCGAAGCTTGTTGGAGGGTTTTCGAGGGCGCACACCCGTGGCAATCGACCTCCTCGGGGCCAAGCTTGTTGGTGGGGGTTCGGCGACCTCCGCGGTCGTACTGGACCTCCCCGTGGCAAAGCTTGTTGATGGGCTTTCGGGGGCACCACTCGGTTGCAATCGACTTCTTCCGGCTGCAATCGACCTCTTCGTGGCCAAGCTTGTTGGTGGGTTTTCGGGGGCACCCCCACGCTTGTACTCGACCTGTCCGTGATTGGAGAGATCGTAATCAGCTGGCATGTTGTCAACCGCTGCTCTTCCTTTCCTCTTCTAGGCTTGATCCTTAAGCCTTTAGCCTTCGGGCGGGCGGTGATGCCGTGCTCTTTAGGCGAGATCGAAGACCAATCCAACCCAATGTTATATCAGATGGCTTCATTGTATATCATACCTCCCATGTCATACATCAGAATATATCCCGTACGTTACTTATCTACATACTACACATTCTATGTTCTATTACCGTTATAAGTTGAATAAGTCATGTTGTATGCTAGCTCTATTGCTGGAATGTCAGAGATTGTTCATGCCATATTTTATGTTATGTTGTCCAGCAAATACAACACAACACAGATATGCATATAATACAGGCTACTGAATATCCATCAGCTTTTATGATAAATTACTTGTTTGTATCATGCATTATGCAGTTTATCGTTCAAAAAATGCATTTGAAAACATATGTTATATGTTGGCCGTCGTATATTTTGATTATACATGAAGTTTAGAATCACAAACAGATAACAGATATGTATATATATATATATATAGATTGTTTGTGTTTCCTAGTTTTGTGAAAAACTTGCCAGGCTATGTATCAGATTTTCGGTGTGCCATATCTTGCGTCATGTACTGTCAGCCACCACATATTATAAGCTTTTGTTTTGGATTTTATGCGTCGTATTCTACAAAGGTGAGTTATATTTGTATCATAACCTACTAGAGTACATTATGGTACATGCGTTGTGAGCCTGCTATGTTAGATTGAGTTAGATCATGTTTCATGACTTTTTGATATGGTGTGACCTGATATGATATGACATCATATCATAACATGTCCTACGGGGTATCAAGTTCATTTCATAGTTTTGTATGTTTTGCTATGTTTTCTTATATCATACCATACCATGCTATGTTTTCTTATTTTGCATTAGAGATGTACTGTCTTAGTTATTTCGTTGTGTTCAAGTTTCGCTGTTATATATTCCATCAGGTGCCATATATACTCTCATATCATCTGTTGTTTCATTATATTTCATTATGTTATATAAGCTTTTTGTGTAGTCAACACCTGAACACGCTCTTCATTGGAGGAAAGGTGCTGTTTCATTGACGCCGCGAGCGCGTATGCGGGCCTTTTTCTTGCAGCCAGCGGTCTCCCTGCTTCACCGGTTCTTAGGATTCATGCCAAAGCGTTGCTGATTGGTCGCGGAGAAGGCACAGCAACTCATATGTTAAGTGGTTTTTATCATACCGTATTGTGGTATTCTACGTCCTGTCATGACGTGTCATGATGTGTTGTGCTTTGTTCTGTTATGTAAGTATGCCAGCATAGATGCACATAATGCACATATAGATGTGTGTGTGTGTGTGCGGGGTGTATGGGCACCTTCGCCGTGCGTCTCTTGCTGATGCGGTCGTGGTCCGTGGCGTGTGATGTGTTGGGCGTCCCGACCCGAGTGTCCGGCACTCTGTGCTTCCGCTTGCATCTTCCTCTCGAGCACCAGCTTCGGCCTAGAAAGGGCTGGGTGCCCAATTGGCGCCGGGGTCCAAGTTACACTACCAGCCCTCAATCCGGGCAAGGCTTTTGCCCCGGCTCTGCATGTCAAGTTGCCACCGGCAATGCAGCTGCAGGAGCTTCCGGTGTTTTCATGTGTTTTTCTGGGAGTTTGTACCCTTGACCTAGACCCATTGACGAACGAAGGGTCAAGAGGGGCAGTGCTCAGGCTGGCTGCTGTCATGCTGCCGGCTCGTTGGCATCTCAGACCCACTTCCTTTCCGTTTGAGAGCTGAAGCGCTTAGGAACGGTCATTGAAAACACACGATACCGTGTGAAGCCGCATGTCCTGAGCAGTACAGTAGCAGTCAGCCCGACATGCGAGCACACTGGAGACGACGGACACCTGTATGTAGATACGTGCATATATGTATATATGTACGTGCGTATGCATGTATGTCTGCAGTCATGGAGCATGCCTCCACATCTGTTCAAGCCTCGAAAGGAGAGGAAAGCTCAGCAGTCCATGCATCATGTAAATCGTGTTCGGCCCCCAGATCGTTAGGCGGGCTCCTTTTCGCGACGACCCTTTTGCTGGCTGTCGCGGCCTCCCATGCTGACGATGTGCGAAGGCACCTGTACAAGCCTGCCACCACCACAGGTAGAAGTATTGCTACTGCTGTGCTAGCACTTTTGTACCGGGGTTCCATCATGCCCATTTGCTTCGGTTTGGGGCTCATAAGTTGAAACGCAGAAATCCGGACTTGGGTGCATGCCTAGCCAGCGATAACGTCCACTCGGACTGCATAAAATGGGATCTCGCATCCAGGCCTGCGCAATGATAGCAGCCGCTTAGACCGCTCGCACCCAGTGACAATCCTGTTGCGCTGCATCGGTGACAACTTCAGACCCCAGCCTTTGAAAACAAGAGTCCTTGAGGCACTCGCATCCATGCCTGTCCCGTGACACTGTCCACTTGGACAGTGTCCGGGAGGACTTCACATCCATCTTGCAACGCACTCGCAGCCGCACCTGGCCAGTGATAACGTCCGCTTGACCTAGTTGCACAAGAAGAAGCATTAGCAGTAGCAGTACTACTGCTGCTTTGTACTAGTCTTCTACTGCTACTGGTATTACTGCTGCTATGCCGCTAACACTATCGCTACTGCAAGACTACTGCTACTGCGCGGCTGCTACTGCTACTCCTAGGAGCAGTTTTCGAATCTTTTCTGTGACTCTCGCACAAACGAAATGCTGCAATGCAGGCTGCAGACCTATGGTGGCTGCCCAACCTGGATACCAACGCCGTACTCCAGTGAGCCTTCCCCGTTTGGCTGGCCGCTGTCACCAAACGACTGGAGCGCTTTGGCGACCCAACTGTGTAATGCAAGGCTTGGGGAAGATGGATGCGTCTAGAGAGACCTGCAGCAGTGACTAAGGCTTCGCGGACATGCCATATTGGCCCAAGAAGTACCTAGCAACTCTGGCAGCATGTACAGGCTTATCGTCAGGCGGCCATGGTTTGCCAGCTGAGTGCATGTGTACTGCCGAAGTCGAGATCTGGATGTTAGACATCGCGGTGTTGGCCCCAGACTCTGGAGTAACTTGTCAGGCTTGTGCCGGGAAGAGGCAGTCTCCAATAGACATTCCTCTGAACAGCCCGAGCTGTGGAATCGACCGGCCACTTGGGCCGCAGCGACATCGTGCCAAAATGCAAGAACCCAAGCAGCTACTGAACCGGACACCTCAATGCTTCTTCGCAGAGTTGAATCTGTTTCTCATCAGTCTTTGCCACTCTCTCGCCAGGCTGCTAGATGTGGCTTGTTGCCGGTGACGACTGGCACGGCTGTGCCACCGACATGGCCTACTTCATATAGCTAAGACATGTGCAGTGCCGAAAGCAACTATCCGGATCATGCTGCTCGCAGTGATTGTGATGATGACGGTGGTGATCGCAGTCAGTTCATGTTATCCACAAAAGGATTACGTGTATCTCAGGATTAACACAACTACGGCGTTTGTTTGGATTGAAGCTTGCTAAATCGGGTCAGTAAGTGGACATGCAGCTGGAGCAAGCTCGCCAAGGATAAGTGATCAAGATGGTCTACTCAAGACGGCAGCTGGCTATACGGCATCTTTGCTGCGTTTTTTTGGTACGGTCCGGAGACTTGCGCTGTAGGCTCGCATGGGCTTGCTGCTCGCATCTCAACTCGCAAGGCGCAGGGCAGCGTTCAGCCACCCGAAGTACGAGTCAGCCACTTGAGCGTAATCGTTGTTGCAGAGGTGGTGTGTGATATAAAAAAACATACACACACACACACACTCACGCGCGCATACATATATATATATATATACACACATACACATTATATATATATATATATGGATATGATCTGGCGTCTGGCGTTCCCATGGTAGGGGCGGGGGCTGACGTGTGCGGAGAGGGGTCGGGGCGGTTGGGTGGGGTGCTGCTGCGGGGCGGCCAGAGGTCACAGAGAGGGCCGGGATCTTGCGCAAGCCCTACTCCTACTCAAGCCATAAAACCTATAACGTAGGGCGTGTTCCTGTTTTTATTAACCTGAACCTGTACTTAATACTTTCAACCGTACACCCAACCCTAAACCCGCCCGCCTAAATGCAGGCTCTAAGCTTGAAGAAGAACATAAACCGTCACCCCAACCAACCTACACCCCAAACCCTCCGCTCTTGTTGACTCCATGCTACAGGGGGAAGAGGGACCCCACACCCCACCCACAGAGTGGGGGATCCTGGACCATGGACCATGGGGGGGGCCGCGGAGTGCCTGACCCTCTCTCTCTCTATCTCTCTCTCTCTCTCTCTATACATATATATATCTATAAATACATATATGAATAGATACATACATATATATATATATATGGTCATAGCTCACAGCCCCCCCATGATCCAGCCGAACCTACTTTTTGTAAGCGGTCGATCATGGGACGTGGGCAGCCTCGAATGCGAAAACATCGGCAGGGATCAAATTTCCCCAAAATTCCTGAAGCCTGAAATGCGAAAACATCGGCAGGGTGCCGGGATTTTAGGAATTCTGGGGAAATTTGATGCCTGGCAGCACTTTAGCAACCTCGGATGCGAAAA